GGAAATATGTTTTTTTTCCTAAACAGAAATAAGGCCACAATGTGTGACGTTTCTGAAACACAGAACACTCTACTTCAACTTTTATTTTTTATTTTTTAAATCACCTACATACGATTGGATTGAAATGCCCACTGGCTTCTGTTCTGTCTCAGGGAGCAAGAACTAGTCATGGTAGTTCACAGTCCCACCTACCTCATATGGCTATTACAAGCCAGGCTTGATCTATCCGAGCTTTATTTATTTGCCATTATGCAGAATGCTGCAGCAGATTTAGGAGGTATTGAAAGCCAGGACATGGCTGTGGACATTGCTGGTGTGATCTCACTGCTGAAATCCCAAAGAGATAAGAACCAAGGTAATCCATTAGCATTAGCTAACCTGACACGTGTTTGCATTTGTACGCGCATGTACAAAGCTGTGGAGGGCATTACATACATAATTATAGATATATGATTGACAGCTCTGTCTCTAGGTTTGCTGACATCTGCGTTCAGCAGAAGTCTTAGGGGTTTTGGATGTTTACACAAGCGAGATTTTTACAGGACAATAACTTGCGTAAAAACATTAAATGTACATATACATCATCTTAAGTGAAGATTGTTGCTGAAATAGACGGTTCAGCAAAAAGGCTCTTTAATTTTTAAAAATTACAGAGCACAATCCCTTTAAAGCTCCACCTCTGCTCAGACATTCTACAAACCTCTTACACTTCATAGCAACAATATACAACATACCTCTGTGAATTTGTTGAGGGTGGCATTTGTTGGATTGTGAGTAATTAGAAAACGCATACACTCATAAGATATTTCCACTGGAGCAGGACGGTTCATTGTGATAACTTTAAAAAAATAAGGTTTATTTATTTAAAAAAAAAAAAAAAATCCTGAAAAAAATACACAGCAGAAAATATTAAAAAAATTCTACAAAGAAAAAAATATATATTATATATATATTTGCAGGTGAAAAAAGGATTATTCTGTTATTGCAAAGTCCCAATTGAGAGATGTTAGTTTTGTGAGCAGTTTTTGAGGGATGCAGGGAAGCATCCAAGAGATATCCCTCACATTACTTCTAGGAGGGAAAAAAGAAAAAACTTTAAAAATGCGCATATATAGTGACCAATGGTCTCTACGGCGATGAGGCACTCATTAATGGAGATTTCCCCCGTACAATTCTTCCCTTCACAAAAGGAAAAAATAAAAAATTGTGAAAAATCTGCGGTTGTGAGGTGAAATAATAAGTTAGAACTCCCATATGCTTTTCTACGGCTGGCGAGAGCGAGTGCACGACATGGATTGATGGGCTCAGGGGGGGTCACCAAGAGGCCTCTCTGCTCACTTGTCTGCACCAAAGCTGTGCTGAGCCTGGCAGTATTCTGAGCTTATGCGCCGAATCGCCATAAATGTGCAACAAATATTCCAAGAGGAACCCTAAAGGACAAAAAAGAAAAGAAAAAAAAACCATCGTTAAGACACATTTTTTTTAAATATCTTGTAGCATATTCAATATAAATAAGAAATCAATATAACATTTAATTCATTCTCTAATGTCTCCTCAAACCAATGTGGTTACTAACATAAATGAGAGTTATGGTAGTTCCACCTGTATAAAGACTCATTAATAGGAAATCTCCAGCTGAACTGGAAATCCCCTATTTGCATGTGCATGTGTGCACCTCCTGCTGTTTGCAAGTTAACAGGAAGGGAGCAGCAATTACAGACTTTGCATACAATGCTGCCTGTATGTACTGTAACACAACCATCAACCAACATCACATAGATTATTATACAAACCACCTGATGAGAGTATATACCAAAGAGAAGCAGTGACACTCATACAGCTATCAATGTAAGCATATAGTGTAATGCCCATTTATTGACCACAGAAATATGAAAAGGTAACTATTTTCATCTGCTTCTACTATGTGCAGCAAGTGCAACATAATGAGCAAACAGGGCAAACTCCATGTCCGTACACAAAATAATAATTGTTCTTATAACACATAGGGGCTAATTTGTACAGCTTCTGCCCAGCATACAGCCATTTGCACAGCATTATGGCCAACAGCTGGAGCAGAGGTCCACAGTCATTTCCTATATCCCTGAACTCCAAATAGTGGCTATAAGATGGGCAGAAGTTTTATACATGAGCCCCATATTAACATCACTTTCATCTGCTTACATAGATTTGCATGCGCGTAAACAAATTTAATGGATCAATAAAAAAATTTAAAAAAAAGTTACTTTATGTGATTTATACCTGTAATGAGAGTATTCAGTATATTAATTTGTTTATATTCAACAGGCATTTCTTTTTTCCACATTTACATGCAGGCCAAAGCAAAAGTGGCCGTTCTCCGGCCAGTGCTCCAACGGCTTAAAAAGTTTTAGCTGGAGATGAGCTTTAATTTGTTAGTCACCCAAAGTCCAATTAAAACTACATGTCCATCTAAAGCTGGCCATACACTTTACAACCATCGTGAGAGGGTTGTAAAGTAATTAAAAGCTTGTACGATCTGCCCATCTTGGACAGGCAGATCGTACTTGCAATCATCGCAAGCCCGCCCCTCTGAGGGGAGGGCTTCCAATGATTCCAATGCCGCACGGGCAGTGCGCGCAACGGCCCATGCGGCATTTGTCTCCCGAGAACGCCACTAACCGGCAGAAATTTACGATTCTCGGCGGGTGTCAAGCCTGCTCGGGAGACAAAAGACGTGGGACCGTACAGTAGAAACGGTCGTACGCCTTCCATACAGCTGCCAATTATCGTACGATAATCGGCAGGTGTATGGGCACCTTAAGAGAGCCTATCTCAACTTTCTAAGCTCAGATGAGCCTTTAAAATAGTGCTCAGGTCTCAGGGAAACCTTGTTAAAATTATTATATCTACAGCTCATGGTACCATAGTTGTGGTCAGCAAGAGAAGTGCCGCCCATTACACTGATAGTCAGCGAAACCATGCCGTTACACTAATGGTCAGTGGAAAGAATGACCATTACAATGCTATCCAGTGTAGTGCCCCCATACATTGGGAAATAAACCTCTGCTCACTACTCAAGAAACCCCAGTAAACTCTGGAGGAACCCTAGGGTCCCCACAGAACCCTAGTTGAGAAAGGCTGATCTAAAGTTGGTTTCATTCAGTTCTTGATAAACCAGATGAAATTCACACAATGGGTACCCATCAGCACCCTTCGATCAGAAAATCAAAAATCGGATGGAAAATCTTCAGACGAACAGTAAATGGCACCCAATCAGCTGCCCTCAACTGAGTATTCTGATAACGGCACACTCACTGCTATCAGAATACAAAGGATACAACGAGAGAGTTGCCCTTCCATACTGTTTAGCGTCCATGGAGGAATCTGTTATATTTTCAGTTAACCAGCACGCGGAACAAACAAATATAAGTGCATGGCCAGCTTTAGATGACCCTGTCCATTGGATAGCAACGCTGGTTTTGTAACTTCACTACAGAATAAACAATGAATGAAGTGTCAGTCTGTTAACAATGGATCTACTGGCAGGATCAACAATAAAAACTATGTTACTGGGGATACAATGAATAATAAAAACTGCTATGTTGATGCTACTGACAAATGTCTTATATTTGTCATTTTGCCCATAATTCCACTTGCATTTGACCATTCATGAATAACAAGGCAAATACTGTTTTGGTCATCCGTAACTTACGTTTCTTAATATTCATTATGCCTTGCTTTCAAATGTAAACAGCTATGTATATAAAGACAGAAATTCTATCTGTGCAGCCGTAAAAAGGATAAACTGGTGAGTGGTGAGAAGGCCAGCTCAAAGACACTCACATAAAGAGCTTCTACCCTTTTATCTCCTAAGGCCACAAGAAGCTTTTTTTTTACAGGCTAACTGAAAAGGAACCCAATAGAACTCTCAGCAAATATCTAGACAGAGATAAGCCTTGCCATAAGAATCTGCAAGGAAAATATACAAAAGGTACTAGCATTTCTCAGCAATAAGTGGTCATTGCAGTACAGCACAAGGATTTTAGTATCAGTAGTGAAAAGCAGACGGACTGCAATATTTAATGGGTCACTGTTTGACTATAAAGTTAATGATTACAGGTTGGTGTAAAGGCCGCCTACAGCTCAGGCTCTACTAGTTTGGCCAGGCTTCATGCTGTCGGACATGGCTCACTAAACACAACACTCTATCGTTGGTTCTGTCAATGAACTGCCGAGGTTAATGAGATCACAACGAATTACAAACGCTTATACCCAGAAGGGCGAGCCCTAAACAAAATCTAAAGACCAGACATAAAAGGTTAATCTCTCCAAGGTAACTAAATTGTACCAACACACCAGCTCGCTGCCAAGAGATTACATCTTGTACAAATCTGAATGTGTTTTACGTCTTTAATAACAGAAGACAAGGTACATATGATCAGTGCAGCAGAACATAATGCCAAAATGGAAAGAGCATGTCAATAGCAATACAGTTTTACTGTTTTGTAAACCATATCATTGCAGCAAATGGAACCGTGAACCATGAACTAGCTTTTAAGGAAGTGTGGAATAGGTAGCAAAGAAAGATACAACAATGTTCAAAGAACATAACCACAAGGATTTGTTTCTATTTTAATAATTTTTTAAATAGCAAAATGAATCAATTTTGCAAGTAAGAAGTATGAATATATAGCTAGTCAGACAATTACATTTCAAAGCAATACTACAAGATCTACAAGTCATCTTGTTTAAGACTCAACTCCAGACAAGTAAAATCCATGAACCGCAAATGTATAAACACTGCCCAGTAGGGCTGCAACAACTAATTGACATCCGATTAACCGATTAATCGAACTTAATAATCGGCTAACTAATCGATTTTGAAAATAATCGTTAGCTGCAGCTCTACTGCCCAGTGTAAAAGTCAAAAGCCTTTTCAATTTACCTTGATGGCATTTTATATCATTTTCTCATAATCTGCTACAACCAGCTCTGCCAAAGAGTGTCGCGCGGGCTTGACTTACCAACCATGCTCTACTGCACAGCATTCACTCTCTCCATACACAATGTTACCTCTAATCTGCAATGGGGTGAAGGATGGGCGTAAAGAACGTCTTTATATAATAACTAGGGATGTGCTTAAATTACACCGAGAAAAGCTTGCGATTGGTGCTTCTAGAACACTAGGCTACCAATCACTGGAGAATTACACAGTCCTAGGCAGGTAGGAAACACTTTATGTACATACCTGCATGCCAGGGATTTGACTGGACCATGCCTTTAAATTTTAACAGCTTTTAGTGGTCTGTAGAGTTCAAAAGGAAACTAAATCCAATCCTTTTCTTGGCTTTACTTATTTTTTGGATCACAGCAGTACATTTTCTAATGTCGTCCTGTGACCAAAGTCAGCATATAGCGGGCTATTGCCTTCTATCTGCTGACAGTGCAGAGCCATGGCAATATTGTCGGGATCCACACTGCTGCTTGATTGACAGTTGACTGTGCCACTCTAGTGCCAGAGCCAGCTGTTCCCGCCCCCTCCCTTGTTTGACCTACTAATGAGTGCTGGAGGAACAAGGAGGGGAGGGAAAATCCCTACAGGGAGACACGAATGATAGTGACTGATCTCTGCATGGAGAAGAGACTTAAAGCTGATCAGCGTTTACATGATCAACTCAACTGCAGTGTTCCACGCTGGCTCCAAATATTGGAAAGTAGGGATGCACAGATACCACTTTTTTGGGTCTGAGTACGAGTACCGATACTTTTTTTTTTAGTACTCGCCGATACCAATTACCGATGCTTTTTCTTAAAGGGGCAGATATAACTTTATTTTTATGCCATCCTGTGCCCAGCCCACACCTGTAGTGTGGCACAGTTATATCTAATTCTGCATACCTGACTGTATATTATACATTAAAAAATGTAATATACAGCCAGGTATGCAGAAATAAATATAACTGTTCCACACTATATGTATGCATTATGCATACATACATACAAAAAATGTCCGTTTGACAAACGTTACATATAAAAAGAGGTATGAGCACAAAAGCCTGTCAGAAGATATTAACGACAAATCTGTCATTATTACAACCTTATGCAATGTCTCAGGCAAAGTTTTTACTCGTAATAAAAATATTTGGAATCTTTGTTTTAAGCTATATAGCCTTCCCGACCAATTATGAGATTATCCCGTCATGATCATTCAGTTAACAACTGGTGACGGGATAATCCAGTACAGGGGAGTGGACATTTTGGAAAAAACTACTTGTCCAAGGACTAAAGTGGGGGCCGAATCTACTTGTCCTTCATGACAATCTACTTGTCCCGATACAAAAAATATTATTTTAACCAAAACCGTATTTAGCAGTGCTAAGAAGCGCTTCTCATGGTCAGGTGACCGCGTTGACCAGCCAGTGCTTGCAAATTGCGAGCGAAATTCAGAATA